TGCAACTTAAGAGTAGAGATTCAAGGCAGAGCTATAAATAAGCCAAGTTTTATTTTCCTACAGTCAGCTTGGTTTTTGCTACTGTTTGCTGTTCGTAAATGTGGTAGATACCAGATCTACCCACAGACAGTCCTGCCTTGAGCCTCGAATGGTGCCTCTGGTCAGGTGCCTTTGGCAAGGTGGCCGAGCCAGGCCACAGTGGTGGCTGTAGCATGGGGAATGTTCCAGGCACTCACTCAACATCACTAGATTAGGGAAGCCAACCCTTGTTCTACTGTCTTGCTCCAGGTATAACCCATCAGCCAAACCTCCTTCAATACTAGCTCTCGCCTTCTGACCTGGTCAGAAACATTTACAAGCAAGGGCCACCTTCCTCTGTGCATTCTATTTAAATATTTTCCAGCTTATCTGAGGGAGGCAGGGAGGCCCTGCAGAAGATGGCTTTAGGAAGTTTTAGTCCCATGGAGGCCCCTGGCTGGGGCTGTTATCTCCCACCCAAATTGGAAGCAGCTGCTGCCAGATGTGTAAGAAACTCTGAGATGTGCCAGAACAAAATCAGGAGGTGTGATCGTTTACATTCAGTAAATGATGGTGCAAGTGCAGACTGTCACCAAGAGATCTGTCTTCCTGCCAATTTCCACCCTAAACAGGCTAGGATTTTTAAGAGGGGACAGTCCTGGTGGGAGTGGGGACAGGGAGGGTCTGGACCAAGCACTGAGAAAGAGGCCTGCTAGGCAAGTCAAGCCATGTGATTGACTGAGGGAGGGACTTTGGCCTTGATTCAAAACTAGGCTGACCCAACGCCCTGGTTTGCCTGGAACAGTCATGGAGTATGCCTGCCGTCCAAGTTGCATTTTTAATAGTGCCCCTTCCACTCACAAAAAAAGTCCATGTTTAGATGATAAGTTCTGTGATTACCCTATTCCAAAGATGAGAAGGAGTTAGGCTAGAAATGCATCCACAGAGTGACATGTAGGATGTGGGACCCCAAGAAGTTTACCTGGCAGTGCCTGGAGGAGAGGGACGAGTGGTAAAGGACCAGGTTGGTTCCTTCTCAAGCATATTTAGAATTATAGCCTTGTCAGCAATGTCCACTCATGACTTTGGGGAGTGTGATGCTGGAAGGGTCTTTGGGATGGTCTAATTTACCTTCTCTTTTACTGGAAGAGGACATTAGGGTAAAAGATAAAAGTGACTTGCCCAAGGTTACATTCTGGTTGCTGGCAGAGTGGGGATAGAAACTTGTCCTTAAGGGATCAAGTTCAGGTACTCTTTGCTGGGACAGAGGGAGACAGAGGACCCTGAAAGAGGCCTCAGAGAATGAACAGACACATGGGACCTTCCGCGGCAGCTCTAGGACAGGGAAGTACCACAGACTACCCCACAGTTCCTAGACAGGGCGGAGGGGGGGAGGGCAGAGATTGGTGAGGTTTAGGCTTGCTGAGCTTGCTTGGACATGCACTCAGGTGACACCTGGAGTCACAGGGGGAGTGCAGGTGGAGCCAAGGGCAAATGGGATCTCCAAAGTAGCGACTAAGAGGCACCGAAGCAATTAATTGGCAATAGAACTAAGAATCAGTGAAGAAACAGGTAGATATGGAGATCAAACACCAACAGGGTCAAATGAGTAATTTATGGAATCTAATATTGTTCTATGGTTGAAACTGTAGTGAAATCTCACTGAGATGCAACCCCTGATAACAGCTGCCTTACCCTTGGGCATCGCTTCCCTAGCCCCTTCTCAGGTCTGCAGTGGTGGGCAAACCTTAAGCCAGTAGAAGTTCTACCTCTGCCTGGTAGATGGGAAACTGAGTCACAGAGAAGCTGGCTTTCTCCAGTCTTACAGGACCCTCAGCAAGAAGGGTGTGATTAACAAGCCTTGAGAGCTGACTCCACAAGCCTGCCACCACAGTAGCCCTCATGGTTCCATGGCAGTCACACCTCCTGTGTGTGCTCTTGTGGTGAAGGGGTGGGGTGGTAGATTTTTCTATGAATTTGCTCGTCTGAGTGGGGCCTCCCCAGGAAGAAGTCGAGCTTGAGAGTCTGGGGATCCTGGCTTCTGGTCCTAATTCTATTGCCGGCGGACAAGCTGTGCAATGGTGGCTAGTCACTCCTCTTCCTGTCCCTCCTGCTCTTCCTGGTTGTCAGATAAAGGTTCTGGCTTGTGCCATCTTCAAAGTCTCAATGCTTTTGTCTTTGCAGGGGGATCTGACCTTGGTTCAAATATCTGTTTAGCTGTGAGTTCATCTCTTGCATCTTCTTGGCAATCTGCCTATAGAGCATCTTCACAGGTTAGGCAAGGTGCAGCCGTGTGATTGAGGGAGGGGCTTTTGACTTGATTCAAAATTAGGCTGCCTGGGACAATCATGGTCCATGCCTGCTATACAAGCTGTATTTTTAATGGTGCCCCTTTAAATATTTGTCATCAGGTCTCAATTACCTTTGACAATGTAGGAATGCAACAATATGCATGCAAAATATAATTTTTAAAAATATCAGCTGGGTGCAGTGGTTCATGCCTGTAATCCCAGCACTTTGGAAGGCTGAGGCAGGTGAATCACCTGAGGTCAGGATTTCGAGACCAGCTTGACCAATATGATGAAACCCCCTCTCTACTAAAAATACAAAAAATTAGCCGGGCATGGTGGTGGACACCTGTAATCCCAGCTAGTCAGGAGCCTGAGACAGGATAATTGCTTGAACCTAGGAGGCAGAGGTTTCAGTGAGCCAAGACTGCCACTGCACTCCAGCCTGGGCGACAGAGCAAGACTCTGTCTCAAAAAATATATATCATATTTGGCCGAGATCTGTTTTTTGCCTCCAACAAGTTTTCATGAGGTTAAGTTAAATATGTGAAATTATTGCAGACAGTCTGCAAACTAGATAGCTCACTAGAGCAAACATACAATCACCTTCAGGCTGACTGCAGTCAAAATAATCTACTGTCACCCTGAATAGGTTTTCTCACATAACATCTACAAAAACCCAGCATACCATTGTCACACACACAGTGCCTTCTGATATGTGTCATTAGGAACCCTCAATCTCCTGAAAAAAAAATCATAAAATAGTTTCAGTATATATGAACTCAGCACACTTTTTTGTTCAGTGAAACTTCTTTCTTTGATGATGCCTGTTCAAATATTTGCAAATATTGAGAAAACACCCACAGAAATCATCCTCTGTTGCTGAGGACACACAGTCTGCAGAAACCAACAGGTAAGACACAAAATACTGAATGCCACTGGAGATCACACAAATTCTAGGATACCTCAGGCCATAGAGGCTTCCTGTCCCAATCCCAAACTGTTAGTTTCTAACCAAATGTGCTAGAGAAGCCAGCCAGGACATTATAAAAGTCAGCAACAAGGTGAAATGGTAAGAGGAGGAGGGGCCTTTGGATAGCATCTCTTTTCAGCTCTTGCTCTAGATGTGAAGAAACTCAGAGGGGGCTGTGGCATCCCAGGTCATGAAGGCCATGAGGACCACTAGAAGCAGGCCTGGAGGTGTGGTCTCTGGGGCTGGGCTCCATCTCTGCCCTCTCTGCCCCACAATACCTCTGAGATGCCCATGTAACCTACAGGGGAGCCCAGGAGTTTCACCTCCTGAAAATGGTGAGGGGTGGACAGTAGGAGAAGAACAAGAGAGAAGCAAGAAGAAGCAGACGGTAGGAGAAAACATTGGATGGAAGGAAGAAAGACCAAAGGCCCTGTGTCCTCATCACCTTGAATAGTGAGCAGAGAAAAGAGGTGAGCACCCAGGGCCTAAGAGCTGCTTCACGGTCATGGAGTGATGGAAAGCCAGCCTGCACCTGGAAGGAAAGGTCCTTGCAGAACGGGACTTAAAGAAGGAAATGTAGAATTAAGTGTGCAAAACAAGAAATGCCTATGTCTGAACCTATGTCATTCTAAGTCAGTGTATCAGACGCCCAGGACTCTGATAAATCAGGTTTCCCAGGCAAACCCAACACTTGGTTTGGGCAGCACTTCTTTATTATAAAACTAGCATCACTGAAAGCTTTTTTTTTTTTTTTTAAGGCCAAAAATATCACATCTTAGGCAAATGAGTTGAAAATCCCTCAGAGTGACACCCTATTTTTTCCATTTCTAAAGTCAGAGGACACCTGGTAAAGAAACTGGTTTTTAGGTAAAGCAATGCAATTCCTGGTGCACGCGGTTTCCTGGTGGTACTGCACTGAAGTGACATCATGGAAATGTTTGTGCCTCAAGGTCAGTCTTCAGGGTTTCTGGGTGAAAGCATGAGTCTTAGTCACTGGTGGGAAAGTATGTTTGTGTACCTTTGTGATCTGCTGCTGTTTACTGCTCTCTGCTTCAAAGACAAAGTTTTAATTAAATCCAGGCGGGCAGCTTGCCAGAGTTCTCCACACTTTTGGCTCACCTAGGTAGGCAGCCTAAGTGTAGGTTATGCCATTTGGAAATGCCTGTGCTCCTGTCATTTGGAAGGTAAAAAAAAAAAAAACAACTGTTACTACAGGGAAAAAGAATTTTTCTTCCACACAAGGGCAAGGAATCTATGACATAAGATGCTCATTCTGGCGGTGAATATGAACAGTCTAATTTGTGTAGCATTCCTTAAGGTGACAAAAGTAGGAAGCAGCAGACTGGGAACGTATGGAATCCTTTGTCTTAATTAAAAATATAGTGGGAGATGTGGAATTTGGCCAAGCCTCATAAATCTGCTAAAAAAGCATCAAGACTCTGTCAGATAAGTTTAACTAGAACCAACTGAGCCCTCTGGAGAGTTAAAAAGATTCCCCACTCGTGTGGACACCCACTCTCCTGTCACTTTCTTGCACTCCGCAGGCAGCAGTGGTGCTCATTAACTAGCAACCCGCCAATTCGCCGATGACAAGATTATCCCCCTGGAGCACACGATTCAGAGATGATAAATTTACTCCCGCTTATAAAAATGAAACTCTCCTCGGGGCAATAAAAACACTCTGAGCCTTTAGGAAATAAGTTCTTTATCTGATAACCTACCTTCATTAACAAAGTCTGGTCCTCTTTGTCGGGACAGCTCTTCACTGCCAGGGAGAACTGCTCTAAGGTAACTGGAAGGAAAGAAATAGAAATGGTGAATGACTTCACTTCCGACTCTGAGCCCTTCTGATATGAAGGAGGACACTGTGGTTAAAACAGAAGTAAATGGCATGCTGTTTGTCCTTCCTTGGTAACATGGCAGAGCTCCCCAGCTGTCCCATGCATGGGTCAGGGGCCCCCACACAGTGACTTCTCCACCCCATCAGATAGAGTCATTACATCAGAGTACAAGGTCATTCCTATCAGCAAAGCTCCTCCCTAAGCTGCAAGGAGGTCCTGGGTTCAGCTTCCTTGTGGGCCATCTTGTCCCCAGAGATGACACTGTGTCCCCATTTCCTGGGACCTTCACTGAGAGGACTGCACCTGGCTTTGTAAGTTTGACAGTGCTAATTTTTAAAATCTCAGTCTTCCATCATGACTTCCATGGCTTTAACTCTTCTCTTGGTTTGTGGCCCCAAATGTTGACTCAAACCCCACAAACTCCCCCAAATATATCAAGTCATCTTTCTCCAACCAGCCTTCTCAAGGAGAATAGGGAAGAGAAACCTAAGAAGGCTTATGGGAAAAAAAAAAAGTTTTAATCATACATTGAAATTGGCCATGAAAGCTCTAGGAATGTTAATCTAGAAAATTTACACAAATTACATTCCCCTTTTCATATTTGTGGCCAGGTTCTCATCAAAGGCTCACTTATGTGGTCACCAATTTTTATTTTGGTATAAGCCACAGACTGCCCTCACTGTAGGCTGTGTTGACTATATTATTTCATGCTTGAAAATGCTCCCACAATTCTCTGCCACTGTCAGATTTAAATCCACTTATTTGACAGGCATTAAGGCTTTTACCAAGTTAACCCATCCAGATTAGCCTTTGATTGTGATACTCAAAGCTGCATTCTCTCTTTACCCGCTGTAACCTTTCATTGCTCTCTGCTGGGAACAGCTGGGCCTCTTATCTTTGAGTAGAGCAAAACTCAGTCCTCCACTTGAACATCCCAAGCCCACCCATCCAGCCAATAAAGCCATTTACTGCCCTCTGGTCCTATGCAACCCCTGCAGATCCCACAAAGGTGGGCAGAGCTAAACTCAGCCTCAAGACTGAGGGACAGTCGGGTTCCAATGATTTGGCCTCAAGCATGTCTGGATGTCTTGTCTACAAATACAGATATTTTAAAGAGAATGATATCAGCAATATTGAATTTTCATCAAGAAAATATTGTCTGGGTAGGTTTGTTTGTAGTTGTCAATGCTACTCTAAAATACAATTCCTTAGACTGCTTTCATCTCTGACTAAATTACTCCATGCAGTCTTGACCGCTATCAGTCATATCTGGTGCTGATTATTTCTTCCAAGTCTAAATTTTGCTCTTACCCAGTCAAGACATACCTAGGATCCATAGAGAGATCAATGTTGCCTTCCACAGCCTCTCCAATGCATATACCCACCCAGTCTTCAATTGGCTGAAGCCAGTGTTAATTACATAGAACCATCAATTTAATCTTTTTTAAAAATTAACTTTGCCTATAAAAGGGGCTCAGCAGAAACTTGTACAGGGAGATAAGGGCCCAAGCTGGGTTAAATTTACACGAATGCTTTTGCTCTCACCCGTTCAGAATACAGCAGCCTGGGAAAGACCCTATAGGCAAGACCTCTCTCCCCCGACTCTGTCCTCAGTTTTGGACTTTTGCTGTGACTGATTTGGTGTGACAACATATTGATCTCTGAGGATGGCTAAAGAATAATCTACAAATTCAAGTGCCAAGTTTTCTTCAGCTCACCTTTTTAAGGCGGCTATTTTATTTGATAAAGGTTTATGCTATAACTTAGAATCTTACTTAGTGCAGGTCAGGGAAATTGAAACACTTGACTTGCTTCCTTAGAGTTACTGGATTCTTACCGACAGCTCTCTCCTCTCTGTGGTGACCCTGCATTCATGCTTCTCACTTCCTGTGCACTGGACTCCACTATAATACTTTTCATTGTTACAGACTAGCACCCACTTCAAGTTACCTTGAACTCTGTACATCTAATTCAAACCAATTGACATCCATACCAAGCCAGCCCTTTCCAGCATTTTCCCATTTCTGTGCGACCGTCATCCTTCAGCCACTAGGCCACTGAACCTGATTCTTTGATTCCTCCCTCAGGACCCCATGTCTGCTGACTCTTGCATGATGATGTCCTTTGGATGCATCCCTTTCCATAGCAGCACTGTCACTTTGATCCTTGGACATCCTTCTTGCTCGTTCCCAGCCTCCATGCCCACCGCTGCCACCACTCTGAGCCTGGCCCTTCTGGAGCCCTATGCCTATGGCCTGCATTCCTCCTCACCACTCCAGGCCTAGCCCCTCTTCCCCAAGCAAACTACCCTGATGGCTCCTGATTCTCACTCATGTAGGGTTCCATCTTGGGCCATGTGCTCCCTCCCTGTATCTGCAGGTTGGCCAGGATCTCACCTGATATGGTTTGGTTGTGTCTCTAACAAAATCTCTTCTTGAACTGTAGCTCCCGTTATCCCCACATGTTACAGGAGGGGACCCAGTGGGAGGTAATTGAATCATGGGGGTGGTTACCCTCCATAATGTTCTCACGGTTGTGAGTTCTCATGAGATCTGACGGTTCTATAAGAGGCATTTCCCCCTTTTGCTTGGCACTTTTCCTTCCTGCCACCATGTGAAGAAGGACGTGTTTGCTGCTGCTTCTGCCATGATTGTAAATTCCTTGAGGCCTTCCCAACCCTGCAGAACTGTGAGTCAATTAAACCTCTTTTCTTTATAAATTACCCAGTCTTGGGTATGTCTTTATAAGCAGTGTGAGAAAGAACTAATACATCACCCTTCTCTAGGGCCATGATGGGAAGTAGTCTCAACACAGGCCTGGGATCAGACAGACGTGACTTTAAACCTTCCCTCTGCCACCTCCAGCTGCATGTCCTTGGACAAATAACACAGCCTTGCTGAGCCTCGCTTCCTCATCAGTGATGTGTGGAGCCTGGAGCCCACTTGCTGAAGCAGGTGTGAGGCTGTGTATGAAGAAATGGTGCTGACAGTGAGTCTGCACTCCATCTCAGGTTACTGTACAAAGCTTTCTCTAAGTCTCCCCTCTTCCCTGTTTGATGTCTTGATGTGACACATGGCACATGGGGTTTCTCTTTCCCAATCGGTCTCTAGTGTTTAGATCTCTGGGCTGCCCTGGCCTCAGGAGAGGGCTCAGGAGATGGACTTGGGTCCTATTCCAGAGTCTGTCCTGTCCCCATCATGTCCAGCATGTCCACAACCATGACCCCATTTTGTAGAACTGGAGTGAAGTAGGAACACAAGGCCAGACTTCGGTCCAGCTCCTTTCAATGGGCTAGCTGAGCATCATGTGGCTAGCAGCCTACAGCCATTTCTACACAAATGATGAGAACCAACCTTGAGAACAGAGGCCCCACAAAAGCAGCATGCCCCTGTGTCTCAGCTTTCCCCCCCATCATAGATGTCGGTGTGACACAGGCTCCTATGCCAGTGCAGGTTCCTCTCTCCCCTCACCCCACTTTCATTTCTATCACATCACAAAAGAGAAGAAGGGGTGAAATCATTAGGTTTGCATAAAGACATACCCAAGACTGGGTAATTTATAAAGGAAAGAAGTTTAACTGACTCATGGTTCTGCAGGTTTGGGGAGGCCTCAGGAAACTTATAATCATGGCAGAGAGGGAAGCAAACACATACTTCTTCACATGGTGGCAGGAAGGAGAAGTGCCGAGTAAAAGAGGGAAAAGCCCCTTATAAAACCATCAGCGCTCATGAGAACTCACTCACCGTCATGAGAACAGGTCTGTGCGGCCACTTTCCCTGACAGCTGATTCACTGACAACTTGCAAGAGAAGCCTCATGACAAGTTGACATTTCACATCCCCGCCCTTCTTCCCCCTCAACTTTTAAATAGAAGGGAAAAAACACTCAAAATGAAAGCATTTGTCGTATTTGCTTTCCTCTACCTTTGCTGCTGATTCAAGGGGCTGACTGCTTAATGAAAATAAGATACGCAGCCAAACAAGTGCCAACAAAATGTCAGGTCTCCCTTGGGCATGAGCCTCCCTAAGGGACTCTCAGCAGAATCACCTTCTTGCCTCAACATTTATTGTCTAACTGCTCTTAAGTGTTCCAGTATCATTCATGGCGGTAGTGGGAGGCCGAAGCTTCCACCTGTCTGGGTAGAATCAAGTTCTCCTTGGTTGAACCTTTCTACCTTTGTGTGACAAAAGAAGGGAGAACAAGAGACTTTTAGATATTAAGTAGCTTTGAGGTTGGGATCAGGAAGAGGAAGCATAGGGAAATAACCACCTGATTAAAGTAAAAAAGGGTCATTTTGGAGAAAAAAATATGGAGCCCCATGAAATAGGTTTCCTCTTTGCTGTATGTGCTGCAGTCAGCAGTAAATTACCTACAATGGCCTCATCCCCTGCAGTCACTGCTGCAAAGTAGAACCTTACAAAATGGGAGATACCTAAAACTCAAGGAAATAGTTGCACCTAGAATACATTTTATTATAACATACTGTTTCAAATCAGGGGGAAGACAAAACAAACATACAATACTATTGTACTGATTTTCCTCTTCGAAATATTGCTGGTCAGTTTGGGCACCTGTCACTAAGTTAGCAGGTACAATTGACCCTGACCCATAACCTGCACCTGGGGCTGCAGTGCTCAGAAATCCTGTCTCAGAATGTTCTTTCAGCTTCTCTCTCAATCTTTGTGCCAGGACCCTGGGTAATAGGAGCCCTGCCTCTGAGGCTAAGCTTTAGAGGACCCTGCCCATGGGGCTACGGGGACTGCCCACCTGGAACCTGCACTCACTCCTCCAGGGACCAATACTCTGGTTTCCTGACCTTAAGCCTCTTTTCTTCAATGTGCTGTTGCCAGTGAGCCACACCACTGCCGTGTCTACTGTAGACCCGTGGGGTGACCAAGGGGCAGCCGATTGCAGGGGTGTGGACAGACCTTAAGTGTCTAGACCAGAGGATC